ATTACTATGATGGACTATGAGAGAAAGAAAAAGAGAGAAAAACAGAGAGCGAGAGAGAAAGAGGAATAGGGGGAATGGGAGAGAGAGAGAGAATGAGAAAGAGAGAGAGAATGAGAAAGAGAGAGAGGGACCTGGCAGTAATGGTCTGATGAGTGTTATCATCCAGCCTTCATTCTCAGCATGGCATCTCTAATGGGAAAATCAACCTCTCTGACTCCTGTGTAATTGGATTTAACCGGGTCTCGTGCTGAATCAGAGCCCAGTGGGTAGTGCAAAGCTTGTTAAGATTGGACAAACATTGCTGGGCTTCCTGGTTGGGGAGAGAGAGGAGGGGGGCTCGGGCAAAAGTAGCCCCCTGACATTTTCTCAGAGTGGAGGGTGGATAATTGAAATGGGCAACATCTGAATATCCATTATGTCTAACTTTACTCTAATGCTGGGAAGCAGCTCGAACTGCCACAAATAGAAGGAAATGGGATCTTTTCATTTGGTCATCGTGCCAGTGGAAACAGACACCTGTCTTCCCCTTGTGTGTGTGTGTGTGTGTGCGCGTGCGTGTGTTTGCTACTACAGGTTCCCATGTTACTAATAATAATAATAATAATAATATGCCATTTAGCAGACGCTTTTACTGAGGTAACCAGGTTACTGCTCCCTTATGGTCTTTCCCTGTGAATAGCAAATGGGGGGAACACCACAAACAGTCTTCAGGCTAAAGTTTTTATTTAAAAAGTTGTCTCTTTTTTATTTCAACTGTGTGTTTATAGGGCAAAAAGTTGACTAATATGATGTGAGAGAATGAGTGGAGTGTAAAGGGCCATTATGTTGGTATTCCTGGGCCTTTTGAAGATTATTTTGTAAACATTGGGCATTTCTTGTCAAGCATGTATAGTTTTCCATTTTGCACACTCAAAGCAAAGTTTCTTGAATCAACAATCAACAGCATCTGAGATTTGATATCAGGGTCGTATTCATTAGGCCCCAAACGGAAGAAAATGGACTGAAACAGGGATTACCTAAACTTGTCCAATAAGAAACACTCGTTTTTTTTGCTACGTTTTGCAATGGTGTGCATTAATGAATATGATCCAGCTTGGCATCATGAGAACAGCCTTATGTCGACAGAGACCCTTAACTGAGTAGTTTGTAATTAGCCTGTAATTTATCTGTCTAATCAAAGATCAGTAACAGGACCTATGCTATGCCAGCAGGGGTTGCTGTGGTGGTGGTGGTGGTGCTGCAATGACACACAAACAGACACACACACACACACACACACGCACACACACACACGCACACACACACACACACACACACACACAAACAGACACGCGCACTCTTAACGAGACAGACTCGGAGGAGGGATGGATTGGATTGTGTTTCTGCATCTTTGTGTTACACCCCATTGAGCTAGTAGACACTCAGGTAAGCACTGAATAAGATATCCCTCTCCCTCCACCTCCATCCCCGACGGCATGAATTATATATATTAAGCAGCTGGGCCGCAGTCCCCCTGAGGCTGGGTCAGTACGATCACGGTGTGGAGGAGCAGAGCACACAGGTAGACAGCACCACCAAACCCTGTGGTAGATCCTTACTGAATGGGTAGATGGGTCACTCAGTTGTGGCTACAGAGGAGAGAGGACTGTACTGTAAATACAGGATGTCTTCAGAATTAGATTTCTGCCAACTAACTGTCAGTGATCCATCCACAGTGACTGACTAGGCATGGGAGTATAAGAGAGGCAGCACATGTGTGACATAACTCTGGTCCAGAGAGGGTGAAGGAAGAATATATATCCAACCTGGATGTCATCATCCCATTCCTGACTTTGACTGAGAACTGACCCACACAGATTTGGAGAATGCAGGTATGATTCCAATGTACTTTATGTGTACTATTTTGTCTTTTCACAGCTAGGATGTTAACTTTTCATATGTGAAGGTCTACTGTAAAAAAAAATGTGTTGCTGCTCCTTGGCCCCCAAGAGCATTAACTAGTTTAAATGCTTTAAAGTTGAAAGTTTGATTCATGCTAAAAGAGAATAACCAATATCATCCCTTTGGGGGCTCACTGTCTAACTGTGTTTTTTTTAGAGGGGGGCATAGAGGCCTAGCCAGTGGACCATAGATAGATAAAGTGCTTACGACAGGGAGGGAGACCCACTCTTTGTTAGTGGGGCGTAACAGGATCGTGCGGGTCAAGTAAAGAGATTGGCCTCTGTACCGCGGGGCAGAACAGAAGAAGGGAGGGAGGCAGATTCATTCCATCCTTAGAAGACGGATAGGTTTTCCTGTTTCCTGGCTGCCGTGTAGTTGAGTGTCTCATCATGGTCCTGTACATTAGGGCACGCAATGGAAAATGTTTACAAATGTTTTGCAACAGAAAACAAACATGAGTATTTCGTAGTCCCTCCCTGTTTCAATCAAATTTCTTCCATTTGGTGCCTAATGAATATGACCTATTTTCACTGGGTCATGCTAGTTTTTTTTCCCCTCCCGCAGCCATCTCTCACGGGGATGAGACGAGGTCACAACTGTCTCAGGTGACGTTGTTTGACACGCTAGACTGAGATGAAGGGGCATCTCTTAATTAATTAATTAATATTTAAATTGGGGGGCAGGTAGCCTAGCGGTTAGAGCGTTGGGACAGTAACTGCTAAGGTCGCTGGTTCGAATACCCGAGCCGACAAGGTGAGCCTAATTTGCTCCAGGGGAGCCGCACTATTATGGCTGAGCCTGTAAAACAACACATTTCACTGCACCTATCCAGTGTATATGACAATAAAAAACATCATCATTTTAAAAAGGCAATTGGTCACCTGATCCAACAATGAGTCACTTTTATCTGTCATGAAATACTGTATAGCCTCGATGGAGTGACACATGGAACAATATATTTGTCCATTGAATTCTGTTATACTGTGTTGAGTCTGTTGAGTCTGTCTCCAGTCTAAACAGCTGTAGTACAGTTACCTCACAGATTCAGTGTCTCGTACACAGTTATTGGTTTACTGTGGCCACTCTCCAAATGAAGGAATTGTGCCTCAAGGTATTAACAGTTGTATTTACCACTGTCCATATGATCTGTTATGGAGCAGTACGGTAGACTCCAAAATCCCCCAGTCTCTGAGCATTGCACATCATCTGCTTGCACTGCCTTGAGAGATATTTGTTCCTGTGAAGGAATGGGGTGTCACAAATACCCCACACCACCAACACCACTACCATCACATTAGTAGATTGATTTTGACGTCTCAAATGGGGTGCCTTCAATGATATTGTTCACCTGTCTCATTGGCTTAAAGTGGGGGGAGAATGCTGAGAGGGGGTTGGTGAGGGTTATTGGTAGAGACACGGGATGAGGGGTATTGTTAAGAAGAGGGGGTGAGATTGGGGGGTGGGTTAATGGGGGGGGGGACCTCTCATCCGACCAGCCCCCCCTCTATCCATCCATGGGGCCCCGTGTGAGGAGAGTAAGTCCAAATTGTAGCACAGGATTGCTTGGAACAAGCTCCTATTGTTCGCCCCCAGGGCACACTAAATGAGTGTCACAGCAAGCAGCGGGACACAGACCGTTACTGCACTATTTAGTCTGCCCCGTTGTCTCAAGACGGCCCCATTTCAGAGGGTTCTCAGATCAGACAAATACTGCCCCTCTCCCTCATTCCCTCCCTCCTTTGTCCTCTCCCTTCCTCTGTCCAACCGCCCCCAACCCCCTCCTCCCCCCCTCACCCCAAAATAGGGCAAATCTTCTCTATTGTGTTTTGACTGGCCAGTATGAAATTGATTGTGACATTAAATGTTTTCTAATGAATAATTACTGAATGGATATGCTGGGGGAATATATGTAATGGATTGTAGACTGCATTTTAAAAACTTTCTTTTTGTCTCTGCTCCGTGGAATTTACAGGACAAAAACACTTGGCCTTTCTCAGAAGTAATGAGGGCTATGGAATGGGAGGGAGACTGGGGGAGTGGGGTAGGGGACTAAGGGCTTTGTGTCAATTAGATCCAATGGATTATCTTTTTGAAATGTTTTGTTGAGAATCAAAGGATTTCTGCCTTCCAAAGAAGGAGAAAAATAAAATAAAAAAGAAGCTGTGAAAAATCCTTTGGTCCAAGTATGAAAAATGTATGCACTCACTAACTGTAGGTCGCTCTGGATAAGAGCGTCTGCTAAATGACTAAAATGTCAAATGTAAGTGTTGGTGTTGAGAATACAAAACAGATATGTGGAATTTTTCCCACTCTGCTTTCTCAAATGTGCCGCTGTTTTCAAGTTCCATTTGCACAGGGTGAGGGTGGTGTGTTTGGTTGGTGTGTGATCTGTGGTGGTTAATGGGCCGCTGGCCAACACTTCCGTACTATGTGCTCTGTAGCCGTCATTAGCTTCTGTCTGTAGACTACCTTGGCACAATCAGAGGGCTCTGCTTCAAAGCCCCATGAGACCCACAGAGCCCTCGTTTCAATAGAGCTAACAGCAACTTTGCTTGTGCTTTTTCTGCTGACTTCTCACCTCTGCTGTTCAACCAAGGATCCCTCTGCAACTTGATTCAAAGATACAATATGGAGGTGTAGTTGCTAATTGTTTACATCAAATGTTGGCTGTATGGTTATACAGTACATATGATATACATATTATATAATATTAATCAATTTCTTATCTCATGAAACCACACAAATCCTTAGATTTAGGCAAACAATATATGATTTTTCTCATGGAATGGAGAGGTGTGCCCCATTCTGTCCAATGCATTTATGGACAATATTCAAGTTTTGTATAGCCTCTTAAAGTCATCCGTCTCATCCATTCACTTTGTTTGGATGCATGTCTGTAAAATAATGTAGAACTACATAAGGACTACATAACTACATAAAAATATCCATAAAATGCATTCATAAGCAGTTCATAATACATTTATGAAATGCTTATCTTCTTCAAGTCCTTATGTAGGTACCCTTCAAATCAAGTGTTATTGCTGTGTGCTTGGCTGCAGGGGCGTGCCCAGGGTCAGCTGGCCATGGAGGGGGCTCTGACCGCCCGAGACCGCGTGGGGATCCAGGACTTTGTCCTGCTGGACGCCCACACCAGCGAGACTGCTTTCCTAGACAACCTGAAAAAACGCTTCAGTGAGGACCTCATCTATGTGAGTTTGGAAGTGGTCGACTTAGTACCAACATTACATAACACACATAGCATGATGTATAATGACACCACTTGCAGACCCTACTTGTTGCAATAGTTTAAGGAAATATATATTATAAACAACATTCTGGGAACTATCAACTTACAGATATTAACCAGTTTTTTCTTCTTCACATTAAGACCTATATAGGCACTCTGCTAGTGTCTGTGAACCCCTACAAAGAGTTGGATATCTACAGTAAAAAACTGATGGATATATACATGGGTGTCAACTTTTTTGAGCTTCCACCGCATATGTGAGTGTCATATAATTAGCACGCCAATGTGTGTGTATGTGTTTTTGCATGTCTATTTGCATGTTAAAATCGTTTTGGTTGTCACTTGTGAGAGGAAATGCCAAACCACGGGATAAGCCCACACATGATATACTGGTCATTCTACAGAAGGGGTGCAAATTGGGGGTTGAATTATATACTACTCACACACTTTGTTTATATTGCATATATGAAATATTCCCTGAATTCCTTATCACCGCACTAAATTGGTCACTACCGAAACACAGTGAAACATCTGCAATGAAGGGAGAACCATGCACAGTAGTGATAATTTCGATTAGCCTTCTATTACATATTCATTTTTAGAAATGTTACTTGCATACCAAATTAACAAAATAGTCAAAACATGATTTTTAAACTGATTTTTAAAACCTTTAAATAGAATTTAGAGAAATATGATTTATATTGTTGTCTTTAAAATGTTCAATGTTGATTGTATGAATCTGAAACTTGTTGATTGATTGAATTACTTATGCATCTAATTAATTATGTTGTTAGATGTTTAAATGATCACTTTACCTATCTTTATTTTGACAAAATAACAGGTGTTTCAGTGTCAAGTGTCACTCATAGAGATAAATGGAGGACTGTAGATGGCTATAACTCATTTAATATAGACATTGCCATTGAGGGCTTCCACCATTTAAAAGTAGTCAACTATGTGGGAATTCCTATGGCTTGGGAGTGATCAGCCAATGATCAGAGAGCATCAAATTGAGCATCAAATTGGGATGCCTATGGTTTGTAAACCAAAGACTAAAGTAATATCCGGAAGCCAAGACCAAGATTTATCCCAAGATCCAGACCCAGACCCAGTGAGTTAAAGACCGAATTTATGTGGTCTTGAGTGGTTTCAAGACCAAGACCAGTAAATCAAGAGTCCATGGGCCCTTTCTTCATTTGTAAGAAACTCAATTAGAGTAAACTCTAATACAGTACAGTACAGTAGAGTACAGTAGAGTAGGGTACAGTACAGTACAGAACAGTATAGTAGAGCGTGGTACAGTAGAGTACAGTACAGTAGGGTACAGTAGAGTAGGGTACAGTAGAGCACAGTACAGTATAGCACATAATAGATGTCAATGTTTGGGCTCTTGGATGGCTGGAGCCCCCCTGCTGGCTATGCATCTCAATACTTGACACTTTTTCCTGAAATGTGCACTTGCCCACTACCCACATGGTGGTCCTCTTTTTTGACTTATTTTGGAATCCCCATAGCTGAAGAAATAGGAAAAAGTATCAGCACACTTCCAGTCAGATGCAAATGTATTTAAATTATAGCTGAGCTTTAATTAAAAGATAGTGGGTCAGATAAGGCCACACAGCGAGCCAGAGGTAATTGCAGACACCCGTGGTAATCTGAAGTACCCAAAAGGGCCACTAGATGTCATAATATCAAATGAATTATAGGATAGAACAGTACATGTTATAGATGTATTTCTACTAGAACAAAACACATGTACACAGGGAATACCCATAGCTAACATATGGCTGGCTATCTTTCATTTGGACAGATGTACATCCCAGCAAACATATATTTTAGTACCAAAACCATACATGACATATTTCTTGATATAGATGTTTGGTAGTGAAAATACATGAAGATTTACCAACTTGCTCACACATTTTCTCCAAAATGTTTGCAGACAGACTACTCACCATGTGGCCATGCTGGAGAGGGGTGCAATTCCATCACCTGGTGATATTTGTAGGGGTGTGGCTTAAGGCACATTCATATTACAGTATTTTAATGTGTGTTTCGGTAGTGACATCAAAAGGTGGGACAGCATTTTTTTGAGAATGATGTTTAAAAAAGATCAAAACTACTTATTAGATCAGTATCTTTCAATGTAATAATAGAACAACTCGAGATGTTCTACTGAAGTAATAGTGTTAAAACAAATGTAAAATCATTAATTGCTTTATTTTCAAACATGAAGTTTAGGAGTCAGGGTTTGGGACAACTACCTCTCAATAGATATAGGTGTATAAACAATGACTTTGTACTATGTTAATTTAACAATATGTTTATTATTGCCTTGGATTGAATTAGAACATATCATGATGTAAATAAATGTCCGACGTTTGGAGACTTAACTGTTTTGTTAAATAGTTTTATTGGGGTGGACTGCAATTTGCACCACTTCTGTAGAATCACCCATATACAACATTTATACAGTGCTTATACGGCTGTCTGACAAAATACCATAGGTGGGTCCAGGACTAAAGCATGGGAGCAGCATATACCATTATTATCATCATTTTCTGGCCTAGCATCGGTGAAGAAATTTGAAATGTGGAATGTGAACATGCATTTCACTTGAAACACTATATTTCTGTAGTTATGCCCTGGCGGACAATGCCTACCACACCATGCTGACTGAGGCCAACAACCACTTCATCCTCATCTCTGGGGAGAGTGGTGCCGGCAAGACAGAGGCTTCCAAAAAGATCCTGCAGTACTATGCTGTGAGCTGCCCAAGTACCACCCTATTGGACAGCGTCAGAGACCGGATGCTGGTGTCCAACCCTGTGCTGGAGGTCTGATCGGACAGTTCCCATCATTCACTATTATCACAAATCTGGTCAGATCTTGTCCCAGATCTGTTTGTGCTGTCTCGCCATTGTGCTGTGCTATGGTCATTGTCATCATGGCTATATAGTACAAACAGATCTGGGACCAGGCTATCACACACCCTGGATTACATAGTAGTGAACCTCTCAGTGACTAACACCTTTGTTTCCTCCACAGGCTTTCGGCAACTCCAAAACACTGAAGAATGACAACTCTAGCCGCTTCGGGAAGTACATGGATATCCAGTTTGACATCCAGGTAAGGATGGATGGAGACTATGGGCTGACGTAAGCAGAAGACATACCAGGGTATTGTTTCTTTCAAATAATTTTGCTGTGCTTGATTGTGCAATGGAGATAAATTGCAATCCCCACCCATCTGGCACTCTAGACAGGCTCAACCAAAGGCTCAAAAGATGAAAAAGAATACCAATACTATTTCAACCCAGGGCCCATATTCACAAAGCTTGTGAATAGAGTAGGAGTGCTGATCTAGGATCCGTTTTGCCATTATATTGAATAAGAAGGGGTGACCTGATCCTCGATCAACACTCCTACTCTGAGACGATTCGTGAATACAGGTCCAGGTCTGGTAAGCAGTTTGTTGACGCTAATTTGATCATTGATCATTGTCACATGTTCGGCACTCTCAGGGGGATGCCGTGGGGGGCCACATCCTGAGCTACCTGCTGGAGAAGTCCAGAGTGGTCCACCAGAACCACGGAGAGAGGAACTTCCACATCTTCTACCAGCTGGTGAAGGGAGGAGAGGAAGACCTGCTGCATCAGCTAGGCCTCGAGAGCAACTGCCAGCACTACAGCTACCTGGTGCAAGTATGGGCTACCACTGTGGTTCAACTGATGTGCTAGCTCGGACTAGGCTAACTGGTGCATGCATGGGCAACCACTGTAGTCCGCTGACGGGCTAGCTAGAGCTAGGCCAACTGGTGGGTGCCATGCATGGGTGCCACTCTAATGGTGCCACTCTCTCAAAAAGGGCGAGTGTGCCAACGTGACCTCAATCAATGACAAGAATGACTGGAAGACAGTGAGAAACGCCCTGTCCGTCATCGACTTTGACGAGAGTGACATACAAGTGAGTTGCTGTCACACTGTTTGTGGAAACAGCTTTTGTGATGACATTCATTGAATTGCTTATTGTACTATACTGTGCACTACTACGCTGTACATCATTTTGCTTTATGTGTTTTAGAGGGGAGCTGCTTACACACAGCTGGCCACCACCTCAACCCTAACCCTAACCCCCACGTCTCCATTCTCCACAGCACCTGTTTGGGATCATAGCAAGCGTCCTCCACTTAGGGAACGTGCCGTTTGAGCCTGACAGCAAAGGCTACGCCACGTTGAACAACAATGCAGAGCTCCGCTGGGTGTCAACAGTAAGCCTTGTCAGTCCTTAGACACTCCACAACACCATGCCAATGCTTTGCAGACCACAGTCCCTGCACTTTGCTAACTTTGTGTTGTGTGTGATCATCTGCAGTTGCTGGGCGTCAATGTTCAAGTGCTGCAGGAGGGGCTGACATCCAGGAAGATTGAGGCCAAAACAGATGAGGTGAGAAGGAGAAGAGGAGTGATGAATTAATACATGAATGAATTAATGAATGAATGTGAAGAGAGAAGGCAGGGACTACACTCACTAATAATAGACATTTCTAACATAACTCACTTGTCAGGTCAGGTAGTTTGTGTACCTTCTTTTTCATCACCATCCAGGTGCTCAGCCCGTTCACAGTGGACCATGCCATCTATGCCAGAGATGCCCTGGCCAAAGCCATCTATGGACGCACCTTTACCTGGCTGGTCAATAAAATCAATGAGTCCATGGAGAATAAGGTTAGCAGATACAGTAAGTGAAAAGTACATGTCAAGATAAAACAGGAGCATTGTTGATCCGTGTGAATGACCACAGTTTCCTGAAATCTTTTCGACAGGACTCATCAAGGAAGACAGTAATTGGTCTCCTAGACATATATGGCTTTGAGGTTTTCTATGTCAACAGGTAGGTGGAACTAAGTTGTGCAGCACATTGTAGAAAATTATTGGGCTACATTTTAATGTGCACTTCAATTGACATCTGTTGTCTGTCAATTCCAGTTTTGAACAGTTCTGTATAAACTACTGCAACGAGAAACTGCAGCAGCTTTTTATCCAGCTGACATTAAAATCGGAGCAGGAGGAGTATGAAGAAGAGAGCATTGGGGTAAATGTAATTTACCCACACATCAATATTTATCTATTCTATTCTATTAGTTTCTATTCAGTTCTATTTAGGCAACGTGTGTAATATGGCATTTTTACCTTGTCATAGTATTACTTTGGCATTATAGTTATTGTTGCATCCTGCAATGCCTTCCCACTGGGCACAAACTGGTTAAATCAACGTTGTTTCAGCATAATTTGCAACGTATTGTGACGTGGCATCTACGAGGAAAATACATTGTATTTTTAAAAAGTCATCAACCTGTTGCAGTTTCAACTGTTGTTTTGAAGGTGAAATTTCACCCACAGGATTATGTCATTGTGATAACCAATTTTCAACACAGACAAACCTTGTATAAAATATGTTGAATTTGTACCTTTGAAACAATGTCAGATCTTCAACGTAATATCCACTATAAGAAGAAAAAAAACTATACTGAGCAGCAACTCCTACTGGAGAGTTGATCCATCTACAGCTATCCCTTTGGTCTCCCATCCAGGGCTTTAACCAAGTCTCCACTTAATAGACTCACTGTTGCTATGTAAGTAATTCTAAAAGATAGGTTCAACAGAGCAAATTAAATATAACCATACTTCCATCATATATCATCAATGATGCAATTTAGGCCTATGTAGCATTTGGGAAGTAATCAACAGCTATTGTTTAAATTCAACCCAGGACTCAAATAAAACTAGACAATACCTATAGGCCTAGGGTTTCAAGCTTTGGTTGATTTCAAATGGAATTCTACAAGTTAATTTAAAATATACAGTGCCTTCAGAAAGTATTCACACCCCTTGACTTTTTCACATTTTGTTGTGTTACAAATTGGGATTAAAATGGATTTAACTGTCTTTTTTTCTCTCAACGATCTACATAAAAAACTCTAATATCAAAGTGGAAGAAACTCCAGTGGTAAGCAACTCCAGTCTATATTTGGCATTGAGTTTCAGGTTATTGTCCTGGAGAAAGATGAATTTGTCTCCCAGTGTCTGTTGGAAAGCAGACTGAACCAGGTTTTCCTCTAGGATTTCGCCTGTGCTTAGCTCTATTGTTTATTTTTCTCCCCAAAAAACTCCCTAGTCCTTGCCGATAACGAGCATTTCCATAACATGATGCAGCCACCACCATGCTTGAAAATATGAAGAGTGGTACTCAGTATTGTGCTGGATTTGCCCCAAACAGCGTGTACCGATAGGATGCATGGGGAGTGAGTAGCTCTGTTTTGTACCGAGAAAACTGTTGTTATATGTAGAAACCAGACAACAATGTTTAAATCAAGCCTCTAAAATCGACAAATCAACATATCCCCAAGTAACTGGGAGAGTGAGAGCGATCAGTTATGTACAACAGCGAACCAATCAGTTGGTAAAGCGGCGACGCGACGCAAATCCAAAAAACTATGGCTTCCCCCAGAGGAAAAGACAAGGAGCAACTTGGAGACGCAAATGAGAGTAATGAACAGTTAGAGGCTATCCAGGATAGCTATCCAGGATAGCTCAAATGCTCTCAATGCACACCAAAACAAACTGCTACGATCTGTTATTATAAAAGTAGATTTGCTCGAAAAGAAAGTAGAGGCTATCGTGTCAGACACGCACAAACAAGGCGTGTGCATGAATGAACAAGATAACAAAATTAGCCTTTTGGAAACAAAGTTGCAAACGTTAGAAGATGAATTGGACCAGCAAGAAAATATAATGAGATGAAACAACATGAGAATATTGTCCTTACCGGAAGACGAGGAAGAAGGAGACCATTCCAGCTACATGGTCAAACTGATATCAGAGGAACTTGACGTGGATATATCACGAGAAGATCTGGAACGATGCCATCAGATCAGCGTGAAACAAAAGAACACTAAATACCCACGCATGGTGATCTTCAAACTGTGGAACTATCAAACCAAAATAAACATTCTGAGGTCACAGTGGGGAAAGGAGATCAAAATCTACGGCTGGTCCATTGGATTCGTCCAGGACCTGTCTGCTAAGCTGAGAGAGAGACGCAAGGAATACATTCCGATCAGACAGTCACTGGAGGAAAAGGGGATTGTCGCAGCTCCGTTCTCAGCAGTGCTGTGGGTATGGAAGGGAACGCAAAGGATGGAATTCACAAGTGCTGATGAAGCCTTAAGCTACAAGAAACCTTCCCAGAAACCTTCCCAGTTGAAGGAGGAGAGCCCCCTGCTCTGAGAAGCGGACGAAGTAGGAAGAAAATGATAAGCGCACTAGGCGTAAGTTGAGACCATATCCTTTCCTCCTCTCCCCAATACAATCTATACTTTACTTTCCCCAAATAACTGTTCTTCTCTATGAAGTAATGATAGAAGTAACCGATGCCAATGGGCTACATGGACACTGAAAATACAATTCAAAGGGGGAAATATAGCATGTATGTCAATAACTGTTCTATGGATGTGTGTGTGCGTTTGTGTAGGTGTGTGTGTGTATTTTTTATTTTATTTAACCTTTATTTAACTAGGCAAGTCAGTTAAGAATACATTCTTATTTACAATGACGGCCTACACCGGCCAAACCTGGGCCAATTGGGCGCCGCCCTATGGGACTCCCAATCATGGCCGGTTGTGATACAGCCTGGAATCGAACCAGGGGGTCTGTAGTGACGCCTCAAGCACTGAGATGCAGTGCCTTAGACCGCTGCGCCACTCGGGAGCCCATGTATGTGTGTTTGTTTATATGAATGGAAGTGTGAGGGATGGTGAATAAGAATGTGTAGGAGGGTGGGAGAGAATGGGTGTGTGGATGCATAGGGTATATGTTGGGCAGGAATGAATGAGAATGGATGAATAAGTCGATGGATGGATGGATGGATGGGTGTAAGTGTGGCTGAGAGGTAGGGAGGGTGGGAAAAGATGGGAGGTTAGGACAAGCTTGCCTTCGGTGGGAAAGTATGGGAGGTTAGTACAAGCTTGGCTTGGGTGGGCAAGGATGGAAGGTTGGGACAAGCTTGGCTTGGGTGGGGTAAAGCGGGGAGAAAACAGGGAGAGGGAGGGGGAGAGGGATAGGTTTGGCTTGGGAGAGAGAGAAGGAAGGATTTAACGATACTACAATGTACATTTATTTTTGTGAAATGAGTAAGCGTTCTGGACAGATTAGGAGATGTCGAGTCATTATTATTCCTTGTTTGTCATTATAGCTCAGAATCAATGGTGGTTATTGGTGAGAGTGGAGAGGGGCTCTATCCGGGGGATTGGGACAGAGTGACTGGGAGGGCATCAGACACTTCTCTGAAGTATGTGTGGGGCCTCCACTCATTTCATGTCAGTCTCTTGGTGGACCCACTCTCCCCAAGTAGACCCCCACCAGCCACTATATTTTAATTTAATTTACAAGGTAATACAAACTGACCACAATACTTAAGTGGCAGTCTTTCTCCAATGTATGTACAATGACATAATCCAAAGACTTTTGGTACAGAGGAGTTGAACCTTAAAAGCCCTAAAAAGGCATAGTGCCTCAAAGTACAAAGAAGTACTTTGCTTTATGTTTTTTGTACGTTTTCTGTTAAGTGTCCACTCAGCTCACATGCTTTATATATGTAATGTATTTTTTATTTTTTATTTAACCTTTATTTAACCAGGTAAGCCAGTTGAGAACAAGTTCTCATTTACAACTGCGACCTGGCCAAGATAAAGCAAAGCAGTGTGATGTATACAATAACTATGTATTAATACTATGACTCTCCCATTTCATGGAATGCCCACCACCCTCATATGACATGTCTGCTCAAATGTTTTATCTGGTTCTTTAATGATATACGGAACAGCCAAGGAAGGTTAACTTTTTTTATACAGGACCAACAAAATCCAACTTATTACATGGAATGTGCACGGGCGCCATGATAAAAAAAGCATATGGTTCTTGAACACTTAAAGACATTGTCAGCAGATTAGGTTTTCCTGCAAGAGTTACATTTCAAAAAAGGAGAAATTGAATATTTAAAGAGGAGCTGGGTTGGAGAGGCCTGTACTGCCACCTACTGTAGTAACAGCAGAAGTGTAGGCATCCTGATAAATAAGAATACACCCTTTTCCCGTATATCCCAGCACATGGACCAAGAAGGCAATTTTTATAATTTTGAATTGTACCTTATATGGTGAAATATATACACAGGGGCAAATCTGGTGTTTTTAGATAGAATTCAAGCTATATTAGATTAAATCCAGAAAGGAACTATTATTTTAGCAGGTGACCTAAATCATGCATTCGATAAGATTGGCAGACGTAGCAATAAAAAAGGCACATTCAAGGAACCTCCAAAGAGGCTAAACATTTGTATCTCTACAAATAATTTACAGGACACCTGGAGATTACTATTCCCAACTACAAAAGACTACTCCTTTTTTTCTCAAAGTAAGAAAAGCTTTTCAAGAATTGACTACATTTCTATTTCCAAAAATGCTCTCAACAAGAATCCATGATATAGTGATATTGGATAATTCCAGAAGCTTTAAAATGAAGGCCAGGCTGTTAGGGTGGGTAATGTACTTTATAACTACACATTCATTACAAGTAAGTACCCCTCAAGATACACTTCATTTTACCAAGGTAAATCCTGTGTAACACCTAGTAATTACATTGTATTTATGCAGATAGTACATGTACTCTGTGGTGTACTAGTGGGTTTATCCTCCCACTTGCATGGCAAGGAGGTTCAGGTTGTCATAATGGGAGCATACACATTAATAATGAGTACATTTTTTTTTAAATAATCTGGGATGACACCCGAATGGTAGACTCCAGTCAGTGAGGTTGACCTACAGTCCATTCAGAAAGTATTCAGAACCCTTTACTTTTTCAAGATTTTGTTACGTTACAGCCTTATTCTAAAATGGATTAAATAAATAAAACTCCTCATCAATCTATACACAATACCCCATAATGACAAAGCGAAAACAGATTTTTAGAAATGTTTGCAAATGTATTAAAACTACAGAAATACCTTATTTACGTAAGTATTCAGACCCTTTGCTATGA